GTACCAAAGTACATAGACCGTGTAACATCATAAACAAGGGGAGACAGTGAATCTGTACCAAAGTACATAGACCGTGTAACATCATAAACAAGGGGAGACAGTGAATCTGTACCAAAGTACATAGACCGTGTAACATCATAAACAAGGGGAGACAGTGAATCTGTACCAAAGTACATAGACCGTGTAACATCATAAACAAGGGGAGACAGTGAATCTGTACCAAAGTACATAGACCGTGTAACATCATAAACAAGGGGAGACAGTGAATCTGTACCAAAGTACATAGACCGTGTAACATCATAAACAAGGCAGACAGTGAGTCTGTACAAAAGTACATAGACCGTGTTACATCATAAACAAGGGAGACAGCGAGTCTGTAAAAAAGTACAAAGACCGTGTTACATCATAAACAAAGGAGACAGCGAGTCTGTACAAAAGTACATAGACCGTGTTACATCATAAACTAGGAAGACAGCGAGTCTGTACAAAAGTACATAGACCGTGTTACATCATAAACTAGGGAGAAAGCGAGTCTGTACAAAAGTACATAGACCGTGTTACATCATAAACTAGGGAGACAGCGAGTCTGTACAAAAGTACATAGACCGTGTTACATCATAAACTAGGGAGACAGCGAGTCTGTACAAAAGTACATAGACCGTGTTACATCATAAACTAGGGAGACAGCGAGTCTGTACAAAAGTACATAGACCGTGTTACATCATAAACTAGGGAGACAGCGAGTCTGTACAAAAGTACATAGACCGTGTTACATCATAAACTAGGGAGACAGCGAGTCTGTACAAAAGTACATAGACCGTGTTACATCATAAACTAGGGAGACAGCGAGTCTGTACAAAAGTACATAGACCGTGTTACATCATAAACTAGGGAGACAGCGAGTCTGTACAAAAGTACATAGACCGTGTTACATCATAAACTAGGGAGACAGCGAGTCTGTACAAAAGTACATAGACCGTGTTACATCATAAACTAGGGAGACAGCGAGTCTGTACAAAAGTACATAGACCGTGTTACATCATAAACTAGGGAGACAGCGAGTCTGTACAAAAGTACATAGACCGTGTTACATCATAAACTAGGGAGACAGCGAGTCTGTACAAAAGTACATAGACCGTGTTACATCATAAACTAGGGAGACAGCGAGTCTGTACAAAAGTACATAGACCGTGTTACATCATAAACTAGGGAGACAGCGAGTCTGTACAAAAGTACATAGACCGTGTTACATCATAAACTAGGGAGACAGCGAGTCTGTACAAAAGTACATAGACCGTGTTACATCATAAACTAGGGAGACAGCGAGTCTGTACAAAAGTACATAGACCGTGTTACATCATAAACTAGGGAGACAGCGAGTCTGTACAAAAGTACATAGACCGTGTTACATCATAAACTAGGGAGACAGCGAGTCTGTACAAAAGTACATAGACCGTGTTACATCATAAACTAGGGAGACAGCGAGTCTGTACAAAAGTACATAGACCGTGTTACATCATAAACTAGGGAGACAGCGAGTCTGTACAAAAGTACATAGACCGTGTTACATCATAAACTAGGGAGACAGCGAGTCTGTACAAAAGTACATAGACCGTGTTACATCATAAACTAGGGAGACAGCGAGTCTGTACAAAAGTACATAGACCGTGTTACATCATAAACTAGGGAGACAGCGAGTCTGTACAAAAGTACATAGACCGTGTTACATCATAAACTAGGGAGACAGCGAGTCTGTACAAAAGTACATAGACCGTGTTACATCATAAACTAGGGAGACAGCGAGTCTGTACAAAAGTACATAGACCGTGTTACATCATAAACTAGGGAGACAGCGAGTCTGTACAAAAGTACATAGACCGTGTTACATCATAAACTAGGGAGACAGCGAGTCTGTACAAAAGTACATAGACCGTGTTACATCATAAACTAGGGAGACAGCGAGTCTGTACAAAAGTACATAGACCGTGTTACATCATAAACTAGGGAGACAGCGAGTCTGTACAAAAGTACATAGACCGTGTTACATCATAAACTAGGGAGACAGCGAGTCTGTACAAAAGTACATAGACCGTGTTACATCATAAACTAGGGAGACAGCGAGTCTGTACAAAAGTACATAGACCGTGTTACATCATAAACTAGGGAGACAGCGAGTCTGTACAAAAGTACATAGACCGTGTTACATCATAAACTAGGGAGACAGCGAGTCTGTACAAAAGTACATAGACCGTGTTACATCATAAACTAGGGAGACAGCGAGTCTGTACAAAAGTACATAGACCGTGTTACATCATAAACTAGGGAGACAGCGAGTCTGTACAAAAGTACATAGACCGTGTTACATCATAAACTAGGGAGACAGCGAGTCTGTACAAAAGTACATAGACCGTGTTACATCATAAACTAGGGAGACAGCGAGTCTGTACAAAAGTACATAGACCGTGTTACATCATAAACTAGGGAGACAGCGAGTCTGTACAAAAGTACATAGACCGTGTTACATCATAAACTAGGGAGACAGCGAGTCTGTACAAAAGTACATAGACCGTGTTACATCATAAACTAGGGAGACAGCGAGTCTGTACAAAAGTACATAGACCGTGTTACATCATAAACTAGGGAGACAGCGAGTCTGTACAAAAGTACATAGACCGTGTTACATCATAAACTAGGGAGACAGCGAGTCTGTACAAAAGTACATAGACCGTGTTACATCATAAACTAGGGAGACAGCGAGTCTGTACAAAAGTACATAGACCGTGTTACATCATAAACTAGGGAGACAGCGAGTCTGTACAAAAGTACATAGACCGTGTTACATCATAAACTAGGGAGACAGCGAGTCTGTACAAAAGTACATAGACCGTGTTACATCATAAACTAGGGAGACAGCGAGTCTGTACAAAAGTACATAGACCGTGTTACATCATAAACTAGGGAGACAGCGAGTCTGTACAAAAGTACATAGACCGTGTTACATCATAAACTAGGGAGACAGCGAGTCTGTACAAAAGTACATAGACCGTGTTACATCATAAACTAGGGAGACAGCGAGTCTGTACAAAAGTACATAGACCGTGTTACATCATAAACTAGGGAGACAGCGAGTCTGTACAAAAGTACATAGACCGTGTTACATCATAAACTAGGGAGACAGCGAGTCTGTACAAAAGTACATAGACCGTGTTACATCATAAACTAGGGAGACAGCGAGTCTGTACAAAAGTACATAGACCGTGTTACATCATAAACTAGGGAGACAGCGAGTCTGTACAAAAGTACATAGACCGTGTTACATCATAAACTAGGGAGACAGCGAGTCTGTACAAAAGTACATAGACCGTGTTACATCATAAACTAGGGAGACAGCGAGTCTGTACAAAAGTACATAGACCGTGTTACATCATAAACTAGGGAGACAGCGAGTCTGTACAAAAGTACATAGACCGTGTTACATTATAAACTAGGGAGACAGTGAGTCTCTACAAAAGTACATAGACCGTGTTACATCATAAACAAGGGAGACAGCGAGTCTGTACAAAAGTACATAGACCGTGTTACATTATAAACTAGGGAGACAGCGAGTCTGTACAAAAGTACAAAGACCGTGTTACATCATAAACAAGGCAGACAGTGAGTCTCTACAAAAGTACATAGACCGTGTTACATCATAAACTAGGGAGACAGCGAGTCTGTACAAAAGTACATAGACCGTGTTACATCATAAACTAGGGAGAAAGCAAGTCTCTACAAAAGTACATAGACCGTGTTACATTATAAACTAGGGAGACAGCGAGTCTCTACAAAAGTACATAGACCGTGTTACATCATAAACTAGGGAGACAGCGAGTCTGTGAAAAAATAGAACATAGACCGTGTTACATCATAAACTTGGGAGACAGCGAGTCTGTACAAAAGTACATAGACCGTGTAACATCATAAACTAGGTAGACAGTGAGTCTGTACAAAAGTACATAGACCGTGTTACATCATAAAGGAGATAGCGAGTCTGTACAAAAGTACAAAGACCGCGTTACATCATAAACTAGGGAGACAGCGAGTCTGTACAAAAGTACAAAGACCGTGTTACATCATAAACTAGGGAGACAGCGAGTCTGTATTAAAGTACATGGACCGCGTTACATCATAAACAAGAGAGACAGTGAGTCTGTTCAAAAGTACATACACCGTGTTACATCATAAACAAGGGAGAAAGCGAGTCAGTATAAAAGTACATAGACCGTGTTACATCATAAACAAGGGGAGACACTTAGTCTGTACAACAATCCATAGACCGTGTTACATCATAAACAAGGCAGACAGTGAGTCTGTACTAAAGTACATAGACCGTGTAACATCATAAACAAGGGGAGACAGTGAGTCTGTACAACAGTACATAGACCGTGTTACATCCTAAACAAGGGAAGACATTGAGTCTGTACAAAAGTACATAGACCGTGTTACAGCAAAAACAAGGGGAGACAGTGAGTCTGTACAAAAGTACATAGACCGTGTTACCGCAAAAACAAGGGGAGACACTTAGTCTGTACAACAGTACATAGACCGTGTTACAGCAAAAACAAGGGGAGACAGTGAGTCTGTACAAAAGTACATATACCGTGTTACAGCAAAATCCAGGGGAGGCACTTAGTCTGTACAACAGTACATAGACCGTGTTACAGCAAAAACAAGGGGAGACCGTGAGTCTGTACAAAAGTACAAAGACCGTGTTACAGCAAAAACCATTTGATCGACTCGAAAATTTTTGCATACAACTAGACGTCATGTGTTTATCTTAATGGAGAGGTGTGTTCGGCCAATACCACTGTGATTAGTTAGCTTCGAGTCACGAAAATATAACGGATGCTTATAAGCAGAAGCATGAGAATAGTCCGGTACCGGAGTACAGTTGAAACGGTAGAATTAAACATTAGATATTATAATTATTATAAACTTAAGATTTAGCACAATATACTCACCGTAGGACGAGTAGTATCCTGAAATATCTACATGAGCTTGTATAACTGACAGGGTGCCTTGCTCCTGTCCTCTTACCCTCGCCTCACCGAGGTTGTAAACAGATTCAGCTGCTGTATTGTTATAGCGCGTGCTGATCCTCGCGCAGGCCTATGTGAGGAATGTGTAAAGGCAGATTGCAGTGATAATTTAAATATACATTGACTGAGTTCCGTCGTTTATTATCAGAGTTTTGAAACACATATACCGACGACTCTTTCCTTTACTTTTAAATAATGAAAATTTATATAATTCGAAAAAACTAACTCATGCTGAAATAACTATTTGTTTATGTTAATATATCTTATTTCCCCTAGAATCACTTATCAATTTATGCTGAACCTATCCTCTTTATCTGTGTCGGCTGGGTAATCAATTGTTGTCTCCAGTAATTTAGGGTTGACAAGTAATTGTCATAGTAGTTATACTACCAGTAACAACATTAATTCTCTGAGCATTATCCGTATTAGTTGTGTGCGGTATGGTAAGTAAAGAGTATACCTAATGTATGAACCCGTGTGTAACAATTAGCCGTATAGAATATATCTGTGTGTTACATCTTTACGTGTTATAATTACCTGTATTATTGTTTGCCATCGTGCGACTGTAGACTGGTCATACTACTTTTGTCTGGTCACGTGATCCTTATGTAATCAAACGTACCTAATTTTCAAACATCCTGATGACTATGACGACCAATGTTGGGAGTCTGCCGTCGCAATTGCTAGGCCTAAATAATTGAAAGCTAGCTATAACACATTATAGACGAAGCTTTGTGTATAAAGAGCCGGCAACAATTGGGTATGAATACTGATATCAAATGTTGATTTCTTAAATTCAACTGTTTGCTTTTTATTTGCCATGTTGGTCAAGTCAGAAAGCTGTTGTTTCATGTCTAATCAGTCAACAACCCAACCTTTCCCCCTCGGATTTGGAACCCACCAGACTAACTTTTTCCCCTCGGAGTTGGAACCCACCAGACTAACGTTTCCCCCTCGGAGTTGGAACCCCCAAGATTAACCTTTCCCCTCGGAGTTGGAACCCACAAGACTTACTTTCCCCCTTCGGAGTAGGGACCCACCTGACTAACTTTTCTCCCTCGGAGTTGGAACCAACCAGACTAGCTTTTCCTTCTCGGAGTTGAAACCAAGCAGACTAACTTTTCCCCTTCGGAGTTGGGACCCACCAAAATAACTCTTTTCCCCTCAAATTTGGATCCACCATACTAACCTTTCTCCCTCGGAGTTGGGACCCACCAGACTAACCTTTCCCCCTCGGAGTTGGAACCCACCAGACTAACTTTTCCCCCTCGGAGATGGAATCCACAAGCCTTACTTTTCCCCTTAGGGTTGGGACCCACAAGACTAACACTCCCCCTCGAAGTTGGAACCCACCAGACTAACTTTTCCTCCTCGGAGTTGAAACCCACTAGACTAACCTTTCCCCCTCGGAGTTGGGACCCACCATACTAACTTTTCCCCCTCGGAGTTGGGACCCACCAGACTAGCTTTTCCTCCGCGGAGTTGGGACCAACCAGAATAACTCTTCCCCCCCCCCCCCCCCCCCCANAACCTTTCCCCCTCGGAGTTTGAATCCACCAGACTAACTTTTCCCCCGCGGAGTTGGAACCCACCAGACTAACATTTCCTCTTCGGAGTTGAAACCCACTAGACTAACCTTTTTCCCTCGGAGAGGGACCCACCAGACTAACCTTTTCCCCTCGGAGTTGGAATCCACCAGACTAACCTTTCCCCGTCGGAATTGTAACCAACCAGGCTAGCTTTTCCTCCTCGGATTTGGAACCCACCAGACTAATTTTTCCCCCTCGGAGTTGAGACCCAACAGACTAACGTTTCCCCTCAGAGTTGGGACCTACCAGACTTACTTTTTCCACTCGAAGCTGAAACCCACCAGACTCACTTTTCCCCTTCGGAGTTTTGAACACCAGACAAACTTCCCTCTCTCAGAGTTGGAACACACCAGACTAACTATTTCCCCTCGGAGTTGGTACCCATCAGACTAACTTTTCACTCTCGGAGTTGGAACCCACCAGACTATATTTTCACCCTCGGAGTTGGAACCCACCAGACTAACTTTTCCCCTCGGAGTTGGAGCACACCAGACTAGCTTTCCCCCCCTGGCCAACGGGAGTAATATTTATCAGAAAAGAGTATAGGTGGATGTAAATACTTTATCTATGTCGCCATTTGTAATATGTAGCAGTACGATTGTAACGTGCAGGTAGGAACCAATCCAGCCACTGACCACGCTAGTAAACGTGTCCCCGAGTTATACTACTTTGTTGGATAAACTAGGTTGCCAGTAGGGCAAACATAACTTCGGCTCCTTTTCCTTGGCTGTCACATTATTCCCCCCTATGAGAAGTCCCCAGACTTTGGCTTTGGAATCCACTTTGTGTAGTATACGTAGTGCATCATTAACACTGGGAGGTACAACAGGACCCCACCCCTGCCACCAAATGTAAAGTGCGGGCGGCACTTTCCTGCCACTGATCACACTCAGTGTTGCTGAACTGGTGAGCGCGTACCCGGGTCAGCTTGGCATTAAGGTAGTATTATACAACACCAATGAAATAAGTTATTTCAACTTATATTAATCACTCTTGTTAGCCGGATGTAAGCACACGTAGGTTCTTAATGTGGGAGGAAAACGGAGTAACCGGGGAAAACCTACGTGGTCGGGCAGGTGAACCTCTACCTTTTCACGTCCGATCGGACAGTACCCCGGCCCACTCCCCCTATTCAATGGCTGTAATAACTTTATTTATGTAATCATGTGTAATAAATACCAGTATAGAGTAAAGTGCCATCTCTTTATTTCACCATGTTTGATAAGTACAAAGGAATATGTTATTGAATACATGTATATACGTACCAGTATACATGTAATGTAACTGTTCAGTGTGCACTTGTTTACAGTATGGTGGGCTTTAAAACCTTAGCTATGTCACACATATCTACATGCTTTACAGCAGCTAGATATGTGATTGCATGCCCCAAAGCTTGATGTTCTCCCCTGAGAAATTAAACAAATCATGTACATTATTTTAAACTTTTTACTTGTAGTATGATCGGTCAAAGATACCATTTTAACACAGTATGTGATGTTTGGTGAAATCTGTGAATGTTTGTACAACTGATAAAAAGTAGTAGTTTCTTACTAACTATCTTAACTTATATATTTATCACAGAAAACACTTTAGGTTACCCCTACCCTTTAGTTTTGAACGAAAGAAATCCTCATTTTCTAAACAGTTTTTTGCAGATTTAAAGATTGATATATAAAGATATGATAAATAACTTTTTCACCTCCTTATGTATAAAACTCTAATCCTAGGGGCTTCAGCACAATATAGACACTAGTACTACCTACCACGGGAAGCTAGACAAATGTATCATTTTAAGCACACGAGTTGCTACTATAGGAACACTCACATTACCCAGAACATGTAAGGGGCTGTGTTAGACTAGACTGCGGTCTTGCTATCATATCACCTCGCCCGTGTCCTCTGTACTGGTGTGTTGTGGAAAAAAGATTTCTGATACTCGCGCGCCAAGGTTTCCCTAGCTGCAACTCGGGGTGCATGACTTAATGCCATCTACGACGGAAAGTTTACCCCTCACCCAGCTAGTTGTTCCAAGCTAAGAAACGCCACAAGGTCGTGGAGAAGATATTGCGCCTCTCCCTTACGTCTGGTTCTACGTACAAGGAACTCTGATCTGCCTCAGGAGCGAGTGTCTGATAAGCAGAGGCAAGACATTTAGGGGAGATTGACGTCGGGCCTTTACTCAGCATTAGTCTTACTGTTATAGGTAACGTTCGCTCGCCGGTGTTCTGTCCTTGGTGATATGCTGGTGAGCGCACCTTACCGTTCTCATCTTTGAACGGCCTCCTTAAATGGTTCCACTCTATTCAGTGGTGGTCTACCTGCTGTGCAGAAGGACTAAAATGAGAACTTTGTGGCTGCGGGTCTCCTTTTTAATAAATCGGGGTCCAGTGGTCCTGGGTCTGCCGTAAACAAGCCCAGACATAATCGCATACAACGTTCTGCTGGGACTTAGTCTTCAATGCCAAGGGACGGAAGGATAAGGACTGCAAAAACCTCCTTCTAAGAGGAAGTCGGGTCACTAGTTCACTTCTTCTCTCCGTATTTTGTGAAATTACATGGGAACAATATTCATGAAAATATGGTGTTTTACACATGTAGTTAAACAATGCGATATACGATATGTGACAAGGAATGTAAGGAAGCGTATACGATATGTGACAAGAAATGTAAGGAAGCGTATGCTATATGTGAAAAGGAATGTAAGGAAGCGTATACGATATGTGACAAGGAATTTAAGGAAGCGTATACGATATGTGACAAGGAATTTAAGGAAGCGTATACGATATGTGACAAGCAATTTAAGAAGGAGTATACAATATGTGACAAGCAATGAAAGGAAGCGTATACGATATATGACAAGGAATGTTAGAAAGCGTATACGATATGTGACAAGGAATGTAAAAGCGTATACGATATGTGACAAGGAATGTAAGGAAGCGTTTACGATATGTAACAAGGAATGTAAGGAAGCGTATACGATATATGACAAGGATTGTAAGGAAACGTATACGATATGTGACAAGAAATGTAAGGAAGCGTATATGATATGTGACAAGGAATGTAAGGAAGCTTATAAGATATGTGACAAGGAATGTTAAGAAGCGTATACGATATGTGACAAGGAATGTAAGGAAGCGTATACGATATGTGACAAGGAATGTAAGGAAGGGTATACGATATGTGACAAGGAATGTAAGGAAACGTATGCGATATGTGACAAGCAATGTAAGGAAGCGTATACGATATGTGACAAGGAATGTAAGGAAGCGTATGCTATATGTGACAAGGAATGTAAGGAAGCGTTTGCAATATGTGACAAGCAATGTAAGGAACCGTATACGATATGTGACAAGGAATGTAAGGAAACGAATGCCACATGTGACAAGGAATGTAAGGAAGCGCATACGATATGTGACAAGGAATGTAATGAAGCGTAAACGATATGTGACAAGGATTGTCAGGAAGCGTTTACGATATGTGACAAGGAATGTAAGGAAACGAATGCCACATGTGACAAGGAATGTAAGGAAGCGTTTACGATATGTGACAAGGAATTAAGGGGAAGCGTATACGATATGTGACAAGCAATGAAAGGAAGCGTATACGATATATGACAAGGATTGTAAGGAAACGTATACGATATGTGACAAGAAATGTAAGGAAGCGTATACGATATGACACAAGGACTGTACAGAAGCGTATACGATATGTGACAAGCAATGAAAGGAAGCGTATACGATATATGACAAGGAATGTTAGAAAGCGTATACGATATGTGACAAGGATTGTCAGGAAGCGTTTACGATATGTGACAAGGAATGTAAGGAAGGGTATACGATATGTGACAAGGAATGTTCGGAAGTTTATACGATATGTGACAAGGAATGTAAGGGAGCGTATACGATATGTGACAAGGAAAGGAAGCGTATACGATATGTGACACGCAATGTAAGGAAGCATATCGATATGTGACAAGGAATGTAAGGAAGTGTATACGATATGTGACAAGGAATG